TTTTTACAAAGCCAGTCTGTTGTGCAGCATTCCCCTCTTCCTTCCACAGGAGAACCTTCTTCTCCTGCATGCCCGGTTTGACGTGCCAATATGGGTCTTCTGTACGAGAGAGTCACGCGGTAGTGTGTGGATTGGAACCATAGAAAACCCATCTTTCATTTCCACTAATCAGTCTCCCAGAGACTCCTGATGAGAACACTAACGAAGGGGTTCTGATGAGAGCGCTAACCAGGGGATACACACCTAACTCACACCATGACGGATGGCACGCTGTGCACCCAGGGGTACCCGAGTGCACAGCGTACTACGTCATGGTATGTGATCCATCGAGCCAGTACTTCCCAATAGCCGAGGGCTTACAGGCGGTTGGCGACTGTAAGAGAGACACACCCGAGTTTTGTCACAAGACTGCGGATGGTAGCCTCTGAATCCTGCCTAACAGAAAGTAACTTTTTTTGCCCCCCCCCCCCTGTGTATCACTTGCTTGAACCAACGCCTCGCTGATGCTGTGTCCCGCGTTATGAATATGGTGACCTTCCCATTCTAACTCCCCTTATCAAATCTTATCAGCTGCTAGCAGTTCTTGTCACCCACCAATAATGTTCCTGTCCCATAGCCTATATCATACCTTGGAACTAACGTCCCACTGTTGCTGTGACCCGCACTATGGACTCGGTGACCCTCCCCCTTCTGACGCCTCTTATCAGATCTTATCAGCTGATATCACTCCCTGTTACCCACCAATGATATTCGCGTCACTGTTCCCATATCATTCTTTTCGTCACAGCTCCTATATCACTCCTTGGGATCAGCTTCTCACGCTACTGTTACGGTCGATTAATTTTGTGGCAGGCAGACAGACACACAACACACACAGACAGACATACTTAGCCGGTTATATGTAGTAGGATCTTTTAATATGAACCAAAAAGAATAGTCGAACAGTCATCACATTAAGCTTCTATAAAAGAGGTCGTGCTAATCAAGGTTAAACATCCCTTGAGGGATCCTCCACCTTGGGATATTATTTGGCTCGTCAAAAAGGCAGAGGTCGTACTTTGGAATTGTTAGTCAATAAAGCTGTGAAGTGGTAAGTGCGAGACAGAAAAAAGTCTAGTAGAAGGAAAAGGAGGTCGTATTGACGCTCACTTCTAGGGGTGAGAGTCGTACCAACGGGCAGTTTCCTCAGTGTGATGCTTGACCCTGGTGTATGTGACTGTTCACTCTTGTTCTAAGAAGAGCATTTACGATTTTTTTTCTCTGATTTGTTGTAAGCTCCGAAAGAAGCTGATTTGAAGCGTGAAGTGTTACATTAGGAAAATAAGCATTGGAGTGGCCATGGTCAGCTTCGATTTCTTCATATTACCGAATACGAAGTGTCTGTTGAGGAAATTTCACGTTTTCGCAGGACGTATCCCTCAACTTTTGAAAGACTGATATTTTTCCCATGAAAACTGCGAATCATTGTATACGCAACAAATGAAGCCAACTACAATCATCAGCTGAAGAAAGTGGTCGCATAATATCAACATCTATGTATCTTACGGTCAGGTTTAGAGATATGGTGTGGTCAGTGCTGGCTGGTCATTGGTCTGGCATAATTTCTCCCGAAGTGATGGAAGAGATTAGGGAGATTGAAACATGGATTCTCATGCTTCTCAGTTCACCTGTACCTGTACCAGGGAAGACTAAAGTGCAGTTAGAAGTGAGCATACTCTGATTTTTCAGAAATATTTTCAAAGTCGAAACTGAGTCGCTGTTTGCAGGTGATGCCTCTCGACATATCTCCCGTATTCGAGTTTGCGCTACCGGATCATACTCGCTTCAGTCTCGTGGACTTCCCACTTCATTTGCCTTTCGAACTGCTCGGAGTCGATGAAGCTGTCCGCATTTTAACGGCCATTATGCTTGAATTCAAGGTGGTAATTTGTTACAGCACCGGGAGTGAACCACGAAAGTTGCGTTAAAGCAAAGTGTGCGATCATCTGAAAGTCGTCCAAACCTCTTCTTTCGCACAAAGGGCACGTGATCACAGCCGACTGAGGGAAAGTTCGTCGGAGTGGCCGGTTAAAATGAAATGTATATTGACTGACAGGATTCTTGGAAATGGTTTTAATTTTAGCTTCCATATCTGCTGCGGACCTCTTTGAACGGAGTTGCAGGAAGTTTTCCGAATTAGCATACTCACAACTGGCATGAATTCATAAGAAAGTGTGCGCGCTAGTTTGCCTGTATACATTTCATGCCAGAAAACTGTCGCACATGGTGGCGCCAACAAGAAAATCACACCAGGTCGGAGTGAATTAATTAGGACCTAGATGACACATTGTTATAAACATGAACATTAACACATATCAGTTCGAGCCAATCAATCCTATCAGTGCGGAAACTCAGAGTCCCTCTGTATTAACTAGCCTGGGGTTTCTCATACGAAAGGCTTCAAGTGGCAGGCGGGAAGAATTTTCGTCGAAAATTTTGCTCTATGAGCCTAACATTGGTCACAAAGAATTCAGGCCAGTGCTGGCCTCTCATCATAGGAGTCTGGATCCTAGTAGCATTTCTCATGATCCTTGAAGTAACTAGAGTGGAGAATGTGTCCAGGTTAACCGCTACTCAGCCTGGTAGAGTCTCAGAAGTCATCATGAGGTCATTCACCAATCTTCTACTACGCAGACGAAGTCACAAAGTCAGCGCATTTCCACAGAACTTTGTGGAGAGTCCTTATTCAATCGGAACAAGGGAGAACTAGTTCACAAGTCAAGTTATTCTGCACAAGCTCATTGTCTTTTCTCTCATACGGCGAGAACACTGAAGTGCCGTATTCTATTATAGGTCTGACATAAGTTCTGTCGGTTTCTTGTGGCACCATTGAACTACATATTTCTACCCCAAAAACTCAGAAAAAGTTTTTCCGCTAAAACTTCGTCTTCGGATGTTATTCGATGTCCTTATCACGAATAGGACATTCATTTCTAGCGCTGGCGCCATTTGGCGCCAACACTTTTCTCGCCAAATTTGATGCAGACTTGTATACGGGGTTAATTGGCATCCTGATCACGAATATAGCATTAATTTTTGACGCTGGCGCCACTGGGCACCATTTAGGCCACACCTTTTCTTGCCAAAATCGATAAAACTTGCGTAATAGGGTTGTTTGATGCCCTGATCACGGGTACTGCATTTATTTCTCCATACGCTCCATTTACTGTCTGCTGAGGCTGAAGCCCTCGTAAAGAATTGATTCCCTTCAGGCCAGGCTCAGTCTTAGCAAAGCGCAGATGACCATAGTGTCCTACGTTAGCGCTGGCGCCAAGAATAAATATCATATTCGTAATCAGGATGTCAAATAACCCCGTATACAAGTTTTCATCGATTTTGGTGATTTAGGGTATTTTGGCGCCGGCGCCTGTGGCGTGGGCGCCAGGCAGTTTTCTGGCGAAGCGGATGACCCGCTGTCGTACCAACAGGGATTTTATGAGTTACCTTAATATAGCCCCATCCTGCGAAAATCGAAGGTGTTCTTGTGGAGTCAAATTTTGGAGTGTCCATATACTTTTATTACGCACTCTATAACATCCAGCAGGGTGGATTCCACCACCTTGATGCCACCGTTTGGTGTCTCTTATAGAGGAAAGATGTTTTAAAATTTGGCTCACCCGTAGCTAGAAACATCGACAAAACGCGCTGGGAATATGATTTGCATTTTGATGCCGAAATGTAAACTACATCTATATTATCATATCGACCTCTTATAAATAAAGCTTGGAATGCTTTTAAGAAATTTATAGGTGTATATATTAATTCATGGCCGCAAGTGGGTTTCGCATGCTGCCGCTGCTCATCGAACTCACCAGGGTGTCCGTACTGTAAGATCGACGGTCCCATCTTTGATTGCTGAAACC